TGCTGTCACTTGTGAGGGCGGAAGGCGGCCGTGATGTACCGGCCAGCGGCGTGCAGGACCACCGCCATCTCAACCCGTTATTGGCATTCCCCGTCAATACTGGGAACGCGGCACGAGATGTTAGCATGTTGCATGCCACATTGATTATCTGCTCACTTCTGTGTTACTGAAGAGTACTGTACAAGCCTGTTGCTCAATTTTATGGTACTTAGGCGCACATGAGAGGACAGGTCTTATTATTTCTTTGTGACTGTTTTGGCGAGCCCTAGCCTTGATGTGCCTGGGATATCGCTTCCTCTGTGATGGTAATGATGATAGCGCTTGTCCTGATCCCAAGCCTGTTGTTTCTGGCGGGGGCTTTTCATAGTCTTCCAGTCGCTTAGGGTATGCTTTTAAAAGTAATTTTGAGATTGTATTTATTGACTTTGCCTTTCTTGATAAGTTTCCACTGTTACAATACAGTAGTCCACAAAGAGGATCTCTAAGTCATAGCTATTACTCTGTTGCCTTGGGCGAGTCACAACCTCTTTTGCCATTTTTCCATCAGTAAAATGGGGATAATAATACCTTGGAGAGTTGTTACGAGAAGTAGTTAATGTTTGTAGAGGGCTTAAAGGACCTAAGTGTTATTAATTAAGCCCCATGACACATTAAGGTAAGAGTTAGTGAACCAGGTTTACACATGGATGAACTGAAGCAGGAAGAGATTATGATTTAGCTAGAGTAACATATTGGATCTGTGACAATAGCAGAAAACAAGTTGTAACTACTTCATGCTGTAGGCACAAGCGAACAGTTCTATAGAACAGATACGCTTCCAAGATTATTTGCCCCTCCCTCGCCCCCCCCCGCCCCCCTTCCAATTTCAAGCTTTTCTACTTTAGGAGGTTTTGCCTGTGTGACTTCCAGTTGACTGGATAGCTCCAAGGACACTTGTGGCTTGCCCACTTAAAAGTGTTTCAGCAGTTTTCATAACAAGATATATGTTCTAGGATGCAAGCCAAATCCAGACTTAAATTCCAGAAAACATTCTCCGCTTTTCCCCTGAAAACATTGTGTGGAACTTAGTTAAGACTTGATCCCGTTCCAGTCAGTGGAGTATGCACTAAAGCTGACATTCCTGTTTCATCTGAAAAAAGTTCTTTCATTAAAGAAAAATTCTCTTGTCAGCCTGTACCAGAGATTTAATGGTGCAGTTAGATCATTTTTCTAAAGATGTAAACATTCCACATATGCTGGAGCTATACATGCATTTTCATCATTTAAAGGTAATTTTCCATCTTCAAACTTCCACCGCAAGTGTTGATAACTTCCGTCCACTGTGTTGATTCCCCAGCACACTGACGTGATGCTACTGCAGGCTGAATAGCATTAAGCAGTTAAAAAAAAAAAAAGTCTACTGAATTCAAAAGGAAACGTAGTCTTCATCTTACAAAGGTTTTCCATACCGTATTGGCTTTTATTTTCTTTGATCACTTGTAATGCTGCTGAGGTTGACACCAACAAAAATAGTGTTTGCAGAGGACTTAAGGAATCACATTTTCTCCTCTGGCAGTTTTCTATGCATATACTTCATTCCCGTGGAAGAAAGTTTTTCTTAGGTATAAGTGGAGTAATAACCCAGAATACTTGCACATTTTTGTGAGAACCAATACTGAAAGTCATACTGAACTATTTTGGCAAGAACTTGCAAGAAAACCTTGAACAGGGGGTTGGACGAGATGACCTCCAAGTTCCCTTCCAACCTCAACCCATGCCATGAGTCTGTAAAAGCAGGATGTATCAAGTGGCACTGGAATTTGGCAGAAATTTAAAATGAATGGGCTTGGGACTTCTTGCCCTTTTGAAGGAATAACTGGAAGCTCCAGAACATCATCACGGTGATTTCAAGATCACAGCTGAAGCCAGTGTAACTGTGTAACTCTGAAATTGCCTTTTCCAGTTTATGGGTTTGCAGCTTTTCCCTATTCAAACCCTGTACAAGTTCTTCCCTCCCCATCCATACGCTTTCAGCCCGGTCTCCTTAGGGGAGCCAGTTCCTGTGTATCGCGGCTTTTGGACTTTGATAATGTCAGCATAGGACCATCAGAATTATCCCAAATTTAAAGGCTATCATACCCCCCCCTACTCCCCCCTGTGACTGCATCCTTATTCCAGACTTTCTCAGGAGCATTCCTCTCGGACAAGCGCCTTTCCCATTCATTACTGTGAGTAGATCAGATAGGATGGTTCTTACTCTTACTAGTCTGGAAAGTAAAGGGCTAAGTCTGAATGAAATTCTTTCATTTGCTGGCAGCTTACATTACCGCTAAAGCGTTGGCACCAATCTCTTGTAAATTTTAAACGGAAGACTGTTTTTCATCTATTGTATACAAAAAACTTCATTTGATGTTTATACATCCCAGTTAAGTCTTCAAAAAATGCAAATGTGCACTGTAAGTGCATAGCTGATTAATCAAATTCATAACGGATTACAATTTTTAGGGGGCAGAATATTTAAATTGAATCATGCTGCTCTGATCCTGTAAGGGAACAGTAAGCTCTTTACAAGCTTGTTTAAAAAGAGTAGCTGTCTCGGGCAGGGATTTTGACAGTGTCAGGCCCTATAGAGTACTTTAAACACAGGTTAATTTGCTCAAGTGCAGTGTTAGTTGCAGCACAGTGCATCTCTTCTGATTGCTTGGAGGAGAAACTCGCATACACCGAGCTACTTGAAAGCCAATATAGCATGTTGTTTACGTGTTGAGTTGCCTAGATGGCCATTATTTAGTGTTTTAGAGAAATAAATATTTTACATTCACAGGTGAAGACATTCTCAATAGCACTTGAAAAATTAAGTGTGAAATCATCCACATCTAAAGCAATCAGTTTCAGAGGTTGGATGGTAGCTTCCCAGTTGGCAGTCTTAACTTTTTCTAAATAGATTACTTCCCAATCAGATCGGTTTCAGTAATTACTTTGATTAAGGTCCTCTTAACTATGGAAAATAAGGCGTTCTTTCATCATACCTCATGATCCGAGGAGAACACTTGTTGGGACAGTCTGGTACGAGGAAATAATGAGTTGAGTATCAGCCTGAAGTGCATTTTCGCCTTCAGATGTGTGATCTGACATACGTCCTTCATTGCCTCCGTTTCCCCATCCGATGGGTCAGTGTTTATGGTAACGCTGAGATCTGTGGGCAAGCCAAGGGGAGGGAAATGCGCAGCCGCTGGTGGACGGGATTAACTCAGCAGCCGCATTGATCTCTGCTGCATTGTGACATAAAAAATACAGCTCCCCACGGGGAAAGTTTTATGAGAGTCCAGCCCTGTCAATCAGATTTCTATGCATCTCGCTAAAAATAACCCTAAAGCCAACGTTTAGGAAGTCACCTATCTGTTGCATTAGGTCTAATGCGGATCCTCTGTCCACTGAGTGATGTGGAGGCCAGAGGTGCGTACAAGAGAGATGATGGAAATTGAAGTTATCCCTAAGAGTCCTAACTCCTGTCTGAAGTCAGAATTTCTTTTTGTTGGGTGAGGAATCTAGTTAGAAGGCATAAAGCACTTCTAGTTTTGAATTTGTAATATTTATTGTAGCAGTGTAACTTTAACATTTTCATGAAAATAAGTTTTAACTAAGAGGAGCTGTTAACTCCACAGCATCTGGAAAATAAGCTATGAATACTTGCTTAAAGTAGCAGAGTGCTAAAAAATATATCCTACTATTCATTGCCAGTATACCAAGTGTAAGTAGGAGAAAAAAAATCTAAGACTAAAACATTTGGATTAGAATTTACCTATAAATAAATTATTTTATATATATAAACACACACAGTGGCAACACAGCAGGAGTGTCATTATCAGCAGAGTAAGGCTAGGAAGGCGATACCGTAGGTCACGTTAGCATCCTTGAAGCCTCATACAAGCAAAAAGGAACCTGTCTTTATTTAGGCTGTGTTAGGGAATAGCTAATTTAAGTTAATAAATTAACAGGAACTCCAATGAAATCAGAGCAGTTGTTCTAAGCAATTTCGCCTTAGCTGCACTGATTCAGTCTAAACCATAACGCAGTTTACTTTAGGCCCTTTCTAAAACATGATTGCTTTGATTCACCCTGTATATTAGGAGGTGCTAATTAGAGGAAGGTAGGTAATTCAATCTAAGGATTAGACTATACCACAAGGACCTTACTGGCACAGCAACACCAGCCTAGTTAGCTGTAAAACCCCTGCACAAAGGGGTGCCTTTTGCCAGCACAAGTTGCGTTTGCACTCACTAGCAGGCTTGTTGCCCTAGCTCTATTTGCCCAAGGAAAAACAGGATTCCCCCCTTCCTTTCACATTTCTAGCAGGTAGCACTGTGCTGGTAAAACTTCTGGTTTAGACAGAGTCCAATATAGATTTCCTTAGTTCAGGTAGAGCTTCAAGGGTACTCTGTGTCTTCTGCTTAGTGTACCAGGGCTGCAGGTGCAAAGAATCTAATACAGGTATATTTATTTCTTACCCCCTGCGGTGGGATTTTGCTTCATCTGTTGTAGTTTCCTCCAGGCTCGCTTGTCTGTAGTTTACGTCTCAAAACCAGTGTTTTTGAAGTAGTCACCATTTCAGGAAGGAGTGGGCTGACTCGAGGTAACAGCTAGGTTCTTCAGTCTCCTTTGTCCTCCCCTCATTTTCCAATACCCTTTTCATATGAGATAACACTGCCTGCGTTGCTTCCCTTTTCTCCCTTTCCCAGGAACTTCTCTCATTTTACTATCCTAGGGGAGCTCATTTAGGTGCAGCAGGCTTCCTTTTATATGAAATAATGCCTTTGGGCTGCTCTCTGATGCCTGGTCACCTGATTCAAATCCACCACCTGGGAGGGAGACAAATCCTATAGGTGAGGCCTGAGTTCCTTCTCTTTTGAAAAGTGGTGAACTGTCACATGCTGCTCGCATTGCAGCTCTGTGTCTGTGGGCATGTCTGAGAGATGAAGAAGAAGAACATCTATCAGAAGTTAAGAAATAAATAAAGAGGATGAAAGTTGTTAGTAGTTACATGCGCAACAGTTACGCTGCTTCTGTATTTGCCAAACAAAAAGGCATGAACTGAAGCTTTAAGGTGTGTTTTGGGGGGGGGGGGGGAATATACAAGAAGTAAAGGAGGTAATTTATAAATAGCAGAAATATCTGTGAGAATGTTAAAGGTACTTGTGGGCTTTGTGTATACTAGACTTAAATATAGTATATTTGATTGAATTACCTAGCTCAATTTATTTGACACCTTGAACTCTTGTCAAGACTAAGCGGTTTTAATTAAATCAGTTTAAATACACTTGGAAAAGCTTTTTTTTGTTTTGCTTATCAAGACGGAACTGATGAATGCTAAAGAAGAAAACAAAGTTTTAAAGAAGAAAACAAAGTTAATCTTGACACTTTTTATTTATGTTCTTAAAAATACAGATTTGAAGAAACTTTTCTGAAGACTTTAATGTAGCTAAAGGGATAGTCTTAAACAACTGTCACGACTGGATTTGGAGTTCCTAGGGACCAGGAAGCTTACTGGCACTCTTAAGAGAAAGTCTTTGAGAGCTCAGTTGGAAAAATGGGCTGTGTAGATACAGTTTCAGGTGAAGAGGTGTCATGCCTAATTGTTATGCTTAATTACCCTGTTGGACTTACTTGAAAATAATTCTGTTTTGATAGGAGATCGGTTTATTATATACCTGGAAAATGTTTGATAATTTTCAATCTCAGAGATTGATAGTTAATATAAAAATGTCCTGAGTCAATTAACATAATAGGGTTCCAAACCATAAAGTAGTTTAAGATTAGAAAATAAACATTTGTCATCAGTGGTCCATGCTTTCAAAATTAAAAAGTGATTTCAAGAAGATTGCTCTTTGCTCTTTCTCCTCTTCACGTATTCTCTGCTCCCTTTCAGTTGAGGCGCCGCAAGGTTAGAGGAGGACGCCTAGCTGTTAATGTGCCATTTACTTTGTTGCTGGGAATTTGAAAGGCTCTGTGCCTGCGTTTGCAGATAGCTGATATTTGTCAGAATTACTAGGATAAAGGTATTTCTGTTTGTTTGTCTGATGGTATAGTTTTATTTTTAAACTAAAGTAACTATGCTGATAAGCCCACTGCTGTTCTATCAGCTTACTCCGTGTTGGCAGTCTGGGGGCATTGTCAAACAGCGTGGTGCAGTAGGAGCAGACCTGTAGAATGAGTCTGCTGGCGCTGAGGACTCCATGTCCGTGGTGTTTGCATTTCTGGAGGTTTCAGCTCGGTCTGGTCCCGTGCCCTTGAAGCGGTTGAAGTGTTCAGTTCTGCGGCAGTCAGAGGACTCCAGTTCGTACGCTCTGAGGCTGCTTTGGTACGTGAACCAAAGCACTGTAAAGGGGATGATGATCTGTTTCAAAAGTTCACACGCGATCCAAACGAAAAAACTGGTGCAGGTTTATGCTAAGCAATATCTGGCCTTATGAGAGGGCAGAAGATGCCCTGCCACTTTTAAAGCTTTTGTTTGTGTTAAGCTCCTTGTGAAAGGAGTGAGAAGCACCTGGCAGTTGATAGAAGAAGGGACAAATCTGATGTGAAAAGGCTGCAAAAGAAGGTTAAGAGCCTTCAGTCAACCATCAGAGGATAGCAGGAAATCACATAAAATCTGTAGAGTTTTCTGAAGGACTGAATGGATGCTTTTTCACCTGTTACATGAGTTCCATAGCTTATCTCTGCTCTTCTCCCTGGGGCTAGGTGGACACTCCCCATCTGCTTCTGCCCAAAGTCTGCTGAATTAGATGGTGGTTTGAACTAATCTGGGTGCTTTGTTTATCCTCTGGGTTCAAAGAAAGTTTGAAAAACTAAGCTCTGTTTTATATATGATACTGAAAAGATGAGAAGAGAATGATTTCACACACACACTTTAATGTGCAGGTTTTTAAATGTTACTCCGTAGGAGTTTTGATGCACTGTAGTGCTCAGGGACAAAACGTGTTAGCCAGTTACATCAATGGTGTGCTTAGCATTTTTCTTCAAACTCTGTTTTTGAGTTGTTTTATCGTGATATTGTGTCATAAATGAGGATTTTTCTGAACGAGATAATCATGAGCGCAAGCTAAAATAATCGGGTTAGTTAGATGTTGTTTCTTGAACAGCAGAATTGATAAGGTCCGTTTTCCCACAGACTTGTATTCTTTTGTGCCTTCCAGCCCCGTCGTCTCCTGTCATACCTCCAGACTCTATCTGCAGCATTCCAGGTCTCCCCACCACCAGTCAGAGTACCTCCTGTTTGCTTTCCCTCCTGGTGCCTGAAGTGCCCGTGCTGGGTTTGCTCTGGCTGAGCTAGAAGCAGAGTGCACGGTTGTTCCTTCGCTGCCCTGTCTCCGCTGAGGAGCTGGCCTTTCCTTCAGAGGTAGGCTAGGAAAGGAGACACGGTGGAGTGTGTCTGTCGGTAGCCAGAGTGGACATGGGGTAAGGGCTGGGCTGTGGCTGTCTTTCGCTTATTGGGGTTGCTACAAGGGTCTGTGTTACCTACATAGCTTTTGATTTTCAGAAAACTGGTAGGAACTTAGCGTATTTGGAATTTCTCTCCCTCTGTGAAACTGGGCTGATACTGGTCTGTGGTTTCTGCATTTGCCAGGGGCGGACTGACAGAGACAGTTATGGACAGTCCAATTGTATAAGCCTTGTTTTCTCTAGAAACCAGGCTGTAAAAAAAATCAACTGTCATAGAAAAACTTATCAATGTTTATGCTAAAGAATACAGCCCTTCAAAAAGTACAATAAGCAAGTGAAACCCACAGCATAAAATACTGCTACTTCAAGAATTTGTGACCGGATGGCCTTTGTTAAATAACGTGCCAGAAAATAAAAGGAAAATTTTAAACCTGAATAGTTTCAGTGATCACATCAACAAAAAAACCCAGCCGCAGGGTTGATGCTGGAGCAGCTGAGGTTCCACAGCCGCTGAGAGCAGTCTCTTTGCTGCTACAGTCCCACTGCCCACTCAGTCTAGCGGGCCAGGCTGCGTTCCTCGGCCTTGAGAGCAAGCGGTGTGACCCGGATGGCCTTTGTTAAATAACGTGCCAGAAAATAAAAGGAAAATTTTAAACCTGAATAGTTTCAGTGATCAACACAAAAAGCCAGCCGCAGGGTTGATGCTGGAGCAGCTGAGGTTCCACAGCCGCTGAGAGCAGTCTCTTTGCTGCTACAGTCCCACTGCCCACTCAGTCTAGCGGGCCAGGCTGCGTTCCTCGGCCTTGAGAGCAAGCGGTGTGACCCAGGCTGCATCCTCCCAGCAGAGCTCTCTTCCTCCAAAACAGGGTGACCTCCTCTGCCCAGCCTGTAGGGAACAGCCCTCTCCCGTGTTGCTTTGAGCTGTTCCTGAGCACCATCCAGGAGAACGCTGTGCCAGAGAGCATGCTGACAGCTAAATGGTCGTGTTAAGTTATGTAGTTATACATGGATGATCATGGTAAAGTGCTTTAGCCCCATGCCCTGGGCTTGCTGGTTTACTACTATAGCTCTCCTTTCCCCTGCCAGGAGTTGTATGTTTTTATTCCACCCCTTGTTCCTGTGATCCTGTGTTGAAACATTTCAGTTTACTAAGCTGGCCTAAAAATATGGCTAAATGGAGGGTTAGCCGAGTGCCAAAGCCGCCTCAGGGAGGGTGCAGGAGTATGACAGCAATGAGATTGGCTTAGGCTGTCGTGGAGCCCCAGCCTGTCAGAGCAGCAAACTCTATCATGCGGGTGAGAGTGAGCTGTGCCGGAGAAGGGAGGCTGGAACTCCCTGTGCCAGCTGCTCTGCAAGAACCAACGTCTTGCAACTACATGCTGAAAGGCAGCAAACGGCACAGTCAGTGGAGGAATGAATAGCTCCTTAAACTGCCATTACTGTCGGAGAAAACCTCGCTGAACTATAGCCTGCCTTTCCTTTCCCTCCCCTCCTACACTCCCCCCTTGGCCATAATGCACAGCGAGAAAGCACCTACCGAGCTGGAAGGGATGTGGAGGAAGGAGGGGTGGAAATTAGAAAGCATTCCTTCTATTTTCTTTAAAACGTTTGTAAGTGTCAAGAATTACTCTTCCATGATTTTGCTAAATTGCTTCTTGGGCACTTGTAGTGAAAAGTATTGTGTGCTCTGTGCATGTGTCGAAAAGGCACAAAGGTGACAACTAACTTTCTTCCAAGTGTTTGTTTGGTATTTAAGTTAATTTGCATTAAGTTTGGTATTTAAGTTAAATTAGGTCTTCTCAGTATCTGGAAAGTTCTCCCAAATTATAATGCAGCTGCTTTGCAATGTAATAAATTAACCACTGTCAAGAAGACTTGCATTGCTTTGGAACGTGGCACGGTCATTTCTTATTCTGTGGGATTCCTGATGGCGAGGTTAGGTTTACTCCTGATACTGGGGAATGATTGGGGAAAAAAAATCCAACAACCACATAAGCTCACAGGTGATACCAGCACTTTTTGTTCTTGCAGATTTCTCTTGGTTTAAAATATATAGATAGAGATATATGGGACGAGTGTGGAGATTGGTGGGCTAATTAGTGGGCTAAGAGCCGCCTCTCTTCCATTCAGATGTACTAGTGCAGTGTATGAATCCATGCCCCATGATACAGGTGCACAGCCTCCCTTTTCTCTGACTCAAAAAGCCTCTCGGGTTGCCAGGCATACTGAAATGCCAGCTGATTTTGTGTGGTTTTTCTTAAGAATGTAAACCTGTACCATACGGCACCAGTAACGGTGGTATTCACAGTTCTGTAGCTCCTACCTTTTTCTCAAACATAAACTTCCCAAAGCAAGGCACTGGGCAAACACTATCTTCTCACTCCGAGTGATTCCCTGCTTGTTTACAGAGCCCTATCTACTATTTTACAGCCAGAAAGTGATTTGTTCGTTACATCTCGCGCATTTTAAAGTGGCAGAGATATGTTAGACCAAACCGGAGGCAATTAGCCTGTGAAATAAAGAAGTAAAATTCAGGGTGGAATCAAAGAAGAAAGGAAACATTATGGTGTGTATGCAGATCAGCTTTGGCTTACAAAACTTTTGTTGCTGTAGGTAACTTGTGCGTATTATACTTTGTATTACTGGAATATTGACCAGAAACTTCCTACAACTTTCCACTGAGTAGCCAGTGAGGGTTGTTTTTTCTTGTGGATTTTTCACCCTAAATAAGATAGGAACAAAAATTAATGAAAGAAAACAAAATGTGTAAAATAGCCTCGTTGTGCTGGGATCTGTCTCAGTTCAGTTGGGTTTTTGAAACTGAATGAGATTCGAGTTCATAATGTCTTAATGTTATGGTTTTAAGGTTATAAGTAAAACCATACCGCTTGCAGATTAGTAAAGCTGTTAAAACTTTAGCATTTATTTTCATATCAGTTTTAACTTGGGTACATGCACAAATTGGCAAATTAGTCTCAGAGACTGAAATTTCTAAGAATGAAGTTTTCCATGCAAGAAATAGGCCAGAACGGGCTATGGAAAAGTCGGGTTTAAATCAGCATGTATATGTAATGGGAAATGTTGAGTTTAATGTTTGTATGGACAGTGACTGATAAGAATCTTGACTGTGATGGCATTTTCCCCATCTTTAACAACAGAATTGGTTGGTTTCTTGTTTTTTATTTGTAACTCAGGAAAGCCAGGTGCGAGAAGAGCATAATAGCAGCCCTTTACAAGGTAGAGAGCACAGTTTAAACTGTTTTTAAAGGTGTTGAAGCTACACAGTGCACCAAGGAAAAATGTTTTCCAGAGCAATAAGAATCATATTATCATCATAGGGGTTTTTATCCTACAACAAAAATAGTCTGCTATTTTTAAGGCCAAAGGAGCAGCCAAAAACGTTATCTAGCTTTTTAAAAGATAGTGACCTGACCAAGTCCTGTGGAATATGTGATTGTGGTTCTGATCCCACAGGAAGATAAAGGTGAGGTGGAGCAAGATTAGCTTTTCTGGTGAAGTTAAGCAAAATGCAGCGCTCGTGTCTGTGTAGACCTTGCAAAAATTGCTAACTACTTCTAACAAACACAGGAGTTACTCCATGGCTCCTGTAGTCCTGCACAGACTTACTTGGGCTTATTAATCTTCTTGATTTTTTTGGTTGTGTTTTTTTTTTTTTTTTAAATTAAAAAGATAACGACTATGGATGAGTTGAACAATTAAAAAAAGTAACTCATTAGGATTTCTTTGTGGTCAGACAATATCCTGGAAGGTCCGTTCAGGAAGTGTTTAGCAACCTGTCTATGCCACGGGTTGTAACAAGAGGGAGACGACTTCCAAAAATAGGCTCCCCCTGTGCTTGGCAGCATGGATTAAATGTCCAGAGAGCCTAATATGTCTAAAGACAGCTGGTCCCTTCCAGAATCTCAACAGGAACAGTGCTGGTTCTAGTGGAATTTGTTATCTGCTCGTATAAAACTCGAGCACTGCAAACTTTTATTTCAAAACGCCTCAGCTCTCTTGTGAGCTCCACAATATCTGAAGATGACGAATGTGAAATTCTTGTCTTAGTAACATCAGAGACTGTAAACAGTATCTTTCTTCGGCAACACGTGTTGGGGTTCTGTTCTGAGATTAACTCTTCCATGATTCACTCAGCTCTCCATTTTCTTTGTTGGTTAGTCGCCTGACCCAAACTGAAAAGGCTGAATTAGTTACAAGCCTGTACCCTCAGTCGCAAAGAGAAAAATGTCTTGGCCTGGAAGGGATAAACTTTCAGTTCCAAATGCATATAAGTATAATCAAAACAAAGCCTTGCTAGCAAAGCGATGGCAAAAGAATGGTGCCCGGAAATATGATTGCTAGAGCAGGAAAATAGAGTAACAGAAAATCTATTTTCTGCTATGGCCAATTACAAAAAGCCGCCTTCATTCTTTGGCAAAATCTTTGTAAGAAAATGTTTCTATTAGGGGAGATGCAGAAGCTTTGGGAGTATAGAGCTGTGTATGTGAGCCCACGTCAGACGTACAGAGGAATCACAGTTAAAACAAGGGGACTGAAGCCCAGGGGTTTTGAGCGTGGTTTTATTTCAGGTTGAAATGACTTAGTAACCTGAAAGGAACAGGGGAGAATAAAAGGTGCGTTCAGTGAAACAAGGAAGATCTAGAGGTGCCATTCGCATTGCGCCTTTGATAGTTACAACTGCTAGCTATTGATTTGATGGAACTTGTGGTTTCTTTGTACATTGATCCAGATTTCACAACCAAGGAAGCACCAACATTTGAGTAGTACATATTGTGTGTTTTGCTGTTTTTACAAAACATTTGTCTTTTTATTTTGCTTTTACCTGTACTATACTAGCACTACTTCCAGACTTCTTCGAATCATGGTTTCCCAGTGAATAGATGTCTCTCTAGGAGGCAGTTGCAGAAGAACACACCTGGAGATTTGAGAAGAGTG